CCTTACGTACACTTCCTGACAATAATCCTAAAAGGTACAGTTTTTTCTCCCCATTACAAGCTGAGAAGACTGAGGCTCAGGGAGATGAAGACACTTCCCCTTTGTTATATTGTTTGTAAGAGGTGAAGCTAGGATCAACCCAGGTCTCTCTGCTGCCAAGTCCAACGTGCAGATGGAAGAAAGCAGACCCGACCATGTTTTGCAAAGTACCAAACTCCAGACATACGTGTAGAGGGGAAGAGAAGGAGGAAAACTGATAATAATGATCATAATAATGTCTACTTAGCACTGGATACCTGTCATGTGCCAGGCACAGGGCTTAAGGGATCTACCTGGATTATTTCATTTAACCCCTGCAACAACTCTGTTATAACCCCTATTTGACAAATGAGCAAATGGAGGCTCAGAGTGGTAAAGCAACTCACCCGGAGTCACACAGCCAGCAAATGGTGAAGCTTACAGGCTCCAAGTTGACTTAACTCTTAACCTGATATAGGAATCTGCTCGCCTTGGGTGCAGGGAGCTTAGCTGGAAGGACCCTGTCTACCCTGGGTGGCCTCCCCTTGGCTCCCTGCCCCCCGACAGGCTCTCCAAGCTGGGCGTCTACTAGGTTCTCAGCCACTTTTCTGTAACTCCTCTGTCTTCAGCCCCTCTGCGTGCCTGTCGGCCCCAGGGCTGAGGTGGCAGCCACGGCGATGGAGACCGAGAGAGCGCACGGTATGCAGATTGCCCCATTAAAATTTCATGCGGATTCAAAAATTCAGTGTTGACTCCAGTGACGCAAATAGGTATGAAAATTCCGAGGAAGGCACACTCATTGTTACCGAAATCAAATGGTTGAACGGCCACTAATGAGGCAGACAAGGAGCCTTGCGCACCCTCTGAGGACTGGGGTAGACGAGAGGAGCAATCGCGCTACATTATTCATACCCTCTTGTCTGAGTTTCAAATCTCAAGGAGGCTCTGGAAGGGGAAGGGAGAGAGGGCAGAGGCGGTGGAGGGGGTGGCAGGAGACGGCCGCTCTGCCAGCTGCACTAGGTCGGGTGACTAATTGACAAGTTCTCACAGAGCCCCTTCCCCAGGGCGCCCTCTCTTCCAGCTCTCATTTTCAGCTCCTGCCCACAAGCACCTGCCTCGCTGCTAGATCGCCCCCATCCGCGGCCCTTGTGCTGTGTGTCAACTGCAGAGGGCCAGCGGGTGGAGGTGGGCATGCGCGGCTGGCTTCCGGTCCTGGCACCGTGCGAGCTAGCTCCAGCTGGAGGCAAAACCTCTCTGAGTCTGCAGAACAGGGAAGCCCATCAGCAGCTCTTCTGCCTACTTTGCCGTGGTGGAGGGAGAATGGAATGTCCGAGGTTCAGAGGCTGCGTCTTACACTTGCATCCTTAGGAATCACACAGGGATCTTGCTGGATGGAGAGTCCAATACTGCCAAGTCAGGGGTGGGGGGCCTGCGATTCTGCATCCCCAGCTAGCTCCCGGGTGAGACGGGGCCGCTGGTGTGTGGACCCCACCCACGGAGGACCTAGTGAGGGCATGATAACAGGGAAGCACTCTGTAGGGTGGATCTGCTGGTCCTCAAGGCTTTCTGCTCTGTATCCCGCCTCCCTGGGCAGTTAGGAAAGGCGCAACGCCCACAGCATCCCTTGGAGGTTGAGTTTAATTGGTTTGGTCCAGGCATCCGAAGTTTTAACACCCCCCCCGCCCCCCGCCGCCTCTTGGTTCTTACATGCAGCCAGATTACTGCAGTTCCTATTATTAATACTTTATTGTTCATTGCCATCATATTTCCCGACTGTTTTGCAAGACCCTGTCTTTCCCAACTCCCCTTCAGCCTCCAAGGCCACCTTACACTGGATGTGTGTGTGTGTGTGTCGGGGGGGGTGGACATTTATTTCCTTCTCACTGAGCAACATCGTTTGCAAGAAGAAGCCCAAGGACCCACTCATTTGCTGTCGGCGCAGTGTGGGGGGAGGGGACAGACCGAATCCCAGGGGACTGACCTCTCTCCAGGGGCAGCACCCACTTCCAGGTTCTAAGGGTCTGCTCTCTGGAGAGGAGAGGAAAGTGTGAATCAAGGGCTGCTTGATGGTCTCCAGTGGTTTCTAACACACACTGGCGACACAGTCTCTCAAAGGGTACAGCAGGCTGCAGATGAACCAGGGATGTAAAGCCAGCTTGCCAGGAAGGGGTTGATCTCCACCGGCGTGGAATGTGCAATCCCACTGTTGACCATGCACCTGGCATAACTAATAAACAGGTTCCTGAGCAGAGCACTCCCTGCATTTCGTAATTATTATTCGGCTATAAAAATCCCTTCTCCCTCCTGCCAACATTATCTTAGTAAACGTTATGAGCGCTCACGAGGTTAATGCAGGGCCGTAAATCCGCAGTGGGTCGAACAAGTGAGACTTGAGGAACTGTTCATAAATCTACCGGAACGGCTCCAGTTTGTTTATTTAATAAAATATCATTTCATAGAAATGCACAGGGCGCTGCGGGGTTCGCACCTAGGTGGGCGCACATGGGGAGGGGGCGAGGTGGGGTTTGCAGAGGATGGCGGGTGTGTGCACATAAGCGTGCACAGAACACCAGGCACATGGGTGGAGCAGGCAGCCGCCTGGTGCCTGGATAGCCGTGTGGTCTGTTATCACACCAGCCATTCTGAACTCAGAACCTGTTCCACTTAACGGCGGCCTGTTCCCTCGGAATTCCTTAATGGGCCTCGTCAATATTTGAAACGATGCTACAAGGCCCAGGACATGTGTAAAGCTGTTCGCACAACAAGAACACCTCCCTGAGCCAGTCTTCTGGGATTTGTTAGGGGCGCTTTGCCCAAGCTGGGCTGTTAAATCAACCAGAAGTCAGGCTTCCCCACGTGTTGTGGAGTAAAATGCCCAGAGCACGGGCACTGGAGGAAACAGACGTGGGTTCTAACACCAGATTCGCCCCGGATCGGGAAGATGGCCATGGGATTCACCTCTCTGGCCTCAGCTTCCTTCTCTGGACCATGGGAATCATCATGGTACAGAGATCTGTGATGTGAAATGTGGGAGGACCAGAGTGGGGAACCAAGATGGCTTTCTTTGCTGTTTCATTCACCTGCACATCTGCACCATTGCAGCGGCTCTGAAAGGCCTTCCCTAGTCAGTTTTGGCTGCAGGTCATCTTCAGAGTCTTCCTTCTTCTCTGTTTAATTGGCAGGGCCCCCAACTGAAAATAAAACACAGTAGGATGGGATAAGCAGAAGCAGCAGAAGTAATGAGAACCTGGAGGCAGTATTCCTGCCAAGCAGGGGTTCGCTTCCCTGAACTTACCATGGGAATCAAGTCACAACAAAGGAGACAGACAGTGTGGTCTCGTGGTGAGGACCACAAAGTCCTGAGACCAGGGTTTGAGTCCTGACTCTAACACTTAACTGTCTGAGGGATCTCTGTGGTCAAGCATTTTAACTGCTGAGTTCCTGGCGAATGATACCTTTTTTAAAAAGAAGAGTGACATGTTTTTTAAATGCTACCTTCCCCTCGACCCCCCTGTGTTTTTTCTTTTTTGGCCGTGCCACATGGTAAGTAAGATCTTAGTTCTCCAGCCAGGGATTGAATCCATGCCCCCCACTGCATTGGAAGCACGAAGTCTTAACCACTGGACCACCAGGGAAGTCCACTTGTGGGGTGATCTTAACATCTGTCCCTTAGGGTTCAAGCTGGTGTGGGTGAAGTGCTTGTATAGGCCTGGCATGTTGTACAAAGTCAATAAACAATGGACAGCTGGCTAGGAGAGGAAACAAGAGAGGCAGGAATGAGGTGAGCCCCCTCCCATCTCAGGTGTCCCTGGACTGTCCCAGTCTGGAAACCACAAGGTCTCACACCCTGTGAGCTCCCTGTGTCCTGGGAAAACTGAAAGCTTGGGTTCCCCAGCCGGAATGGAGAAGTCAATGCTTGAAGCACTCTCAACTCCGGGTTTAATTTGGCCACAGCTATTGATGATTTAATAACAGCTGGCTGATTATAGAGGCTCCATCTAAAAGACTCTAATTCCCCAAGGCTAATTGCTGAGCATTTGATTAACCCAGTGGCTCTCATTAGAATCACCTGAAGAGCTTTCTAAACATACCAATGCCTGGGCCTCACCCCAGACCAGTCTTCCTCCAGTTCACTGCTATTGACATACTGGGCTGAATAAGCCTTTGTGGTCGGGGGCTGTCGTGTGCATTGAGGGATGTTGAGCAGCAACCTTGGGCTCTACTCTGAAGATGCCAGCAGAAACACCCTAATCTCAAAAAAACAAAAACAAAAACAAAACTCCTGGGTAGAATCAGCCCAAGTTGAGAACAATGCCCCAGACTAATTCAGGAAGTTGGGGGCAGGGTAGGAACTGAACCTTGGTATTTCATATTAAATTCCTGCCCATAGCTGACTTTAGCATTTCCCTGGAGCCTTGTTGAGCTAGTGGTAAAGAACCCACCTGCCAGTTCAGGACACATAAGAGATGCGGGTTCAATCCCTGGATTGGGAAGGTCCTCTGGTGAAGGCAATGACAACCCACTCCAGTATTATTGCCTGGGAAATCCCATGGACAGAGAAGTCTGGTGGGCTATGGGTCCATGGGGTTGCAAAAGAGTCGTACACAACTTAGTGACTAAACAACAACAGTAGGCATATGATTTCCTTAACTTGATCTGACACCCTGATGCAGGAATGCCTGTGATTCTCCCTTCTGAGGACAAGAAAACAGGTCTGAAGAGGGAAAACAATTTGCAATTGGAGGTGATAGGACTCAAAATCAGGGTTGTGGGGGGCAGGGGTACAGCATGCTATGGAGAAAAAGATGGAAGTTTCAATATTTAAGTTTTCTGGCTGTCAACATGAGAGGCGCTCCAGGTTTTGCAGGATTCCAGTCATTCCAAAATGACTTAGATCCGAGTGGAAGTGGCCATCAATTAAATCCTTGGCATTCGGATTACTCCAAACACTCATGTAGGCAAACATTTCTTCCTTCTTTTAGATGCAATCTGGATGAGCCAGCGGGAAATCAGACAGTGAGGGGTGGGAGACACAAGGTCTTCTGTGTTGACTCTTCAGAGCCGCGCCCTCCCTCTGCTACCTTCTTCAACCTGGAACCTTCTTCAACCCGGAAGTGTTCAGCCCAGCCCTCGCCCTCGCCGGAAGTGTCTACCGGTCTTGGATCTGAGACAGGAAGTGACTCGGGTGAGGTCAGTGTTTCTCAGATTTCCTTCAGGGTGAAGGGTAGTCACAATGTAATTGTGAAAAGCAATTACAGGGATCACAATAGTCCAAATGGAGAGTGAGTTTTCTGACTGCCAGGAGGGGAAACATTTTAGGATTGGTTTCCTAAGAGGAATCCATCACTTTGATTTTAGCCATGGTGGTGAACACAACGTCTGGTCTAATTTTAGAAACGTTCTGAGACAGGAATAGGTTGTTCCCTGTCTTTGTCTGACAGTAACTTAACGTTTTCTGAGTCTAGGATGGATACTGGCTAAAAATTTACATTCAAAGACAGTTCTGTTTCGTTAGAATCACACCAGAAATTTCTAATGTAATGACATTAACCCAAGTGGATTCTTAACCCAAGTGGAAATGTGTATTGGTTGAAATATCTGTTATAACCATTAAACTTGGAAGTGAGAGAGAAGAGTGTGGTTAAGAGGAGCCAGGTCTCACTTGCATCATAGAAGACCCTCAGAAGATGAGATGAAGTTCATTAGTAGAGGAAGCGGGAAAGTTGGGAAGGCAGGAACAGCACTTGCAAAGCCATGGGGCCATGAGGAGCCCAGTTGTATTGAGGGTCGGGGCAAATTTCAGTGGCAGGAGCCAGGAGTATATGAAATGGGGAGGTCAAGAGATGCAGCTGGTTGGGGAAGGTCTGAAAATTCTTACCCTGCAGTCTGCTTTTCCTCAGACACTCAACAGAAGCAAGTTTTTACCCCGATCCCTTCCACACCTCTGACAATTGTCTTGGAGGCCTGGCTTCCTGACCTCCATCATCACTGACCTCCTTTTAAGATTGGAGACATCTCCACCACCCTGTGGACTCCTGACTATGTCAGGTTACACGGGAAAAGAGAATTAAGGTTGCAGATGGAATTAAGCCTGCAAATCTACTGACCTTGAAATGGAGAGATCATCATGGATTCTATGAATGGGCCCAGTATGATCACAGGAGTTCCTAAAAGTGGAAGAGAGAGAACTAGAGAGAGGGCAGCACAAGGAGGAATCGGCCCAACATTTCTGGCTTTGCAGATGAAGGAAGGGGCCTTGAGTTCAGGAATGAGGCAGCCTCTAGAAGCTTTAAAAGGCAGGGAAACTGGTTCTCCCTTACAGTCTCCAGGTGGAACACAGCCCCAGTGACTAGCCTAGTGAGACCCACTTTGGGCTTCCGATCCCCAGAACTGTAATACAGTAAGTCTGTGTTGTTTAAAGCCATGGTGTATGTGGTTATTCATCACAGCAACAGTAGGAAACTCATCCAGACCCCCATTTCTTCATCTGAGAAATGAGTTTAATAATCATGCCTCATTGTGTATTGAAAATTGAGTTAACAGACATCAAACATTTAGCATGATCTAGGCCCACAATATGTGTTCTTTTGTAGTGAGGCTGTAGGTTGATGGAGTCCCAGGTCTACTAGCCTAGATGTGTTTTTCTGCTCCAGTGAGGGACTGGAGGAAAGAATCTTGGACTAGGGATCAGGAGGACTGGGTACAAGTCATGGCTCTGTCTCTCACTAATAGACAGATGATCTCAGACTTGTTCTTACTGTGAGCCAGGTCTCAGTTTTCCAGTCTGTGTGATGGGTGTGGGGAGAGATGGCCCATAAGCATCCTTCTAGATGTGACATTCTTGTGAGGATTCAGACTGTGTGTGCAGGGATAGGGGGGTTTTGTATCTCACTTGAAGCCCCTTGACTTGGTTTTCTGAAAATGTGCACCTCACATCATGTTCTTGAGACCTCAAGGCTGATGGTGGTCACCCCAATGCCCTCGCTTCTCTCTGTACCCTGAATAGGGGCTAGGGTCGAGGGAGCATCCTGAGACCACAGGCCAAGTTGACTGGTCTCTGCTGATGTCCAGTCCATGTCCTTGGGAACATCAACTCCTCCCCAAACTCAAAGCAAACCAACAGTTAAACACATAAATATCACTTTGTCTGCTCAGCCAGGTCGATTCCTGAGGCCTCCTGGTACACTAGAAAGGTTTTGCAGTTGAGCTGAGATGGGTTTCAGTGGTGGCTGGGCCACTTGCTTGTGAGCAAATTGCTTAATCTCCACGAGCCTTAGTTTACCCACCTGGAAAATGGGAATAATAGTAGTCAACATTAGACTAAAGTAGAGTCAACCTCAGAAAGTCATTTATGATAACCAGTATATTAATTCAGGTAAAGCGGTATGATAATTGCTATGACCCGAAGGAGGCAGGAGGAAGTGTGGGTAGTATTAACTCTTCCAGTGGGGAATGATGATTGTAGAAGGTTATACCTAAGCTGAACTTTAAATGGCAACAATGTATGTGAAAAACTTAGTATAATACCTGAGGTGGATTATATGCTTATAAAGGAAAAGGAATAGAATAAGAAATGAGGTTGCTGGGGGATTCAGGACTCCCCCGAGGCTTCCTGAGTTTGATCCACCTTAGTCTTGAGCCTTCTCCTCTTCCTGTTTCTCCCTCTTGCCCCATCACTGCACCCACACTTGGTTCTGGCCCTGAGCCCTAAATCCTACTGCAGGGGCACCCAGAAGGCACAGACACGACAGGAGAGGGAGAGAGGCAGAGCTGGAGAGAGGGGCTTGAAGAAGATTGATGCCGGCATTGTCGTCATGGCAACGACAGGATGGGCTTGAGGCCCCACTGCCGGGAGCAGCTCCTCCAGCTCTTCCTGGATTCCAGAGCCTTTGAGGGGAGGCAAGAGGCTCAGGTGGGGGCCCTGAGAACACAGGTGGGGCCTCAGGGTGACAGCCAGGGAGAAGGAGGCTTTGGGAACTACCAAATCAATGGACTGTTAGAGAAGACCTGTCCAAATCCCTGAATTGAAAGATGGGGAAACTGAGTATTAAGGAGGAGAGTGGTGAGGACAAATATTTCTAAGCACATAGTAGGTAACTGGTATTTTTCACCTCACTTCTAATGACTTGTCTCTCTTTTCCACCAGACTGTGTGATTTGGAAGGGTAGGGGAGCATCTTGGTTATGGGCTAGGTGTCAGAGAGACCTGGTTTCAGATTCTTGCTTGGCCACTTACCCAGTGGGTGGTGGTGCCTGTTATCTCCCCTGTGTCTCAGTTTCCTCATCTACAAAATGGATGGAGTTTATGATTTATAATATTGTCTGCCTCATAGAGTGGTTGCAATTTTTGAATGACATAACTAATATAAAATGCTTCATATGGTGCTTGGTAAAGCATAAATGCTCAATAAATGTCCCTATAATAATAATATTACAAGGTTAGCCAGCCAAAAGAAGCTTCACATTTTTGCTGCCTGGAAAAAAATATCCCCTGTATTTGTATAGCTTCATGAGAGGTGGGATCTACTTTACTTCTTGAACCATCTGGTTTTGCCTCTTTGGTTTTGCCTCTTTGCCTGCCTTACATTTATAGCTATATTTTCTGTCTCTTGGAGAGCAGAGCTCCATTTGCTAGGGGAAGCCCATAGGTCAGTAGTCAGGAGATATAGGTTAATAATAAATAATAGTTCTCATTTATTGGGAACTTACTATGTGCCAGGCTCCTTGCTAAATGTTTGGCACGCATTTTTCACAATGATTCTTTGTTAGGTGCTCTAATTATTCCATTTTAGAAGAGAGGAAGCTGAGGCTCAGAGAGGTTACATCCATCATCCAAGGTCACAGAGCTGGTAAGTGGCAGAGATGGGACCTCAGCCACAGGTGTACACTTATTCTTGAGAATGAGAGCAGTGAGGACGGATGCCGCTGACCTTGGTCCTGAAACCTTAGTGGCCGACGGGGCTGAGCTACTCCTTAGAATGCCTGTTCATTGGTGCCCCCTGTCCTGCCTCCGCTAGAAATCTGACAGGTAAGAGAGGATGCCTTGGGGAAACAATATAGATAGAAAGGAAAGAACACAAGAAGTCAGTGAGAGAGAGAATCAGGGCCTTTTTCAAGGAGATATTTCATGAAAGGCTGCTGAGGAGAAATAAAAGTGACTTGATTTTATACACACACACACACACACACACACATATATATTTTGAAAAACAACATTGCTGGAGGAGGTGCTTTTTGACACAGTTGATCTTCACCCTGCTTGCCACATTAGTGGTTAGTAGCCTATTTTCTGTCCCTCACAAGTGGGGTCTCTTTATTCTTGCCTCGTACAATAGTGAAAAATCCAAGTGTGACATCTGGCACACCTGGGCACACTCTCTTTAGCTCTTCTCCTGGTTTTATCAGTAAGTATCCTCTGCCTACCTTTGCTCTGGCCACGCTGCATCCTTGCCAGCAATTCCCCACCCAGAGCGTGGATTTCCTGGGAAGAATTTCTGCAGCCCAGCCACCCAAGTTCATCTGTAATGCGGGCTTTCCCTGCCATAAAGCTCCAAGCTGCTCGGCAGAATTTGGAACCACATTTCCCTGCATTAAAAAGTGCCTCGAGTGAGGATCGTGTTCCAGTGGTGGCATGTAAATGCCTCTTTCAAGAAGGGAAATTGCTTTGAAGTTACTATTTCCCTGGCTTTGATAATAATCTGCTTAATGTCTTGTGTCAAACTAATTACAGCATAATTACCTTTTTTAATAACAGGTACTTTTAATTGGTGCAGGGTTAAACAATTCTGTTGTAAAAATCAGTTGTTTTACATTCATGGCTATAGTTTACAAAGAAGTGGGACAACCTTGCAATATTAAACACCCCACAGAGCTGGGATGGGGTGTGAATGAGAAGGCTGCCATGCCCCCTCTCCTTGACGTTGGACCCCATTTCTTGTGATGCTTCATCTGCTCATGGACAGAACTTCTTATGCCAAACTCTTAGAAGAAGAGAGGAAGGATGCTTAGGGCTATGTGTGTTCACGTTCTTCATCCTGCTTCATTTTTATCTGTACACACACAAGAGCATGTCAAAGAAGTACTGTTGTCTACATTAAATAGATGGCTCACCCAAAGCTCAGAGAGTTTAAGAACCTGCTGCAGGTCACAACGTCAAATGAACGAATCAGACTCTGAACTCATGCCCTTTGTTTCCAAATCCAGAGTTTTTGAAAGGTAGTATGATTGAGTGGTTAAGAGCTTGGGATGAGTCTGGAATCTAAAATATCCGGGCTCAATCCTAGCTCTATAACATAATTACCGAGTGACCTAGGATGACCTCCTTACCCGCTCCAGACCTGTTTGCTCAGCAGTGAGCATGCGTGTGTGGTCAGCCGCTCAGTCGTGTCCAACTCTTTGCGAGCTCGTGGACTGCAGCCTGTCCACCAGGCCCCTCTGTCCATGGAATTTCTCAGGCAAGAATACTGTCGTGGGCTGCCATTTCCTGCTCCAGGGGATCTTCTTGACCCAGGGATTGAACTCATGTCTCTTGTGTCTCCTGCATTGGCAGGTGGATTTATTACCACCGCACCACCTGGGAAGCCCCCATCAGTGAGAATAAGAAATAATAATAGTGTCCACCTCATGGGACTGATAAGCTAATATAAAGCAACATAGGTGATGTGTCTAACACAGACACTCCTATGGTGATAACTCCGCCTGTTCCCCTCTGAGCCTCGCTGCAATTGCACTTTTCTTCTCCTGGATTCTTTCCTTGTAGAAAAAAAAAAACTCTTGAGTACCCCATGGATGTATTTCCTCACGTCTTGGCTGAAAAAAAAAAAAAGTGCACGCACTCATCTCATTACTGCAGCTTTTTGCATTTCATTAAAAAACCTGACAGGCCATTTCATAATAATTTATTAGCACAGAGTCAATTTTTATTAATTACAATCATTAATTTATCAGTGTTCCCGTCATCTGAAGTTTGGTCAGAAATGAAAGGCGAGAAGTGCAGAGAGAAAAATGGGCGAAATGGAAGTCGGGGGGATCAGGGTCCGGTGGCGTGGGGGTGGGGCTGGAAGGGGCTGATTGGGTTGGTGAACTTGATGGAACAGGAGGCATCATCTTGGATGCAGAGCCTGGGGGAGGGGCAGTGTCCTACACTGGCGATCATGGGTCTGACCGTTGAGTGATGCTTGCTTTCTTAATGCGGAAGCAAAAGAAGTGTAAGGTTGATAGACGCAGGGCCTCACAGACATCAGGAGCAAGACCCTCCAAGCTCTGTCTCTGTCACCCTTCAGCCTCACCCCTTACCTCTGTCGGCCTTGCTCACCCCACTTGGATATTCGTTGTTCCAGCTGATATTTACCTCTCAGTCTGGTTGGCAGCTTCTCGAAGGCATCAACCTTGTCTTGGCCATCACTCGGTTTCCAGATCCTGCTGGAGAATTCAAGAGATACCTGTTAATGGATCATCTACCCACCCTCTGCCCGTTTTATGGAGGCAGAAGCTGAAGCCCAGAGAGGATGCCTGACCTTCTTAAGGTCGCACAGCTCACTGACAGCGGAGTCAGACCCAGGAATTCAACCTGCTGGACCTTTCTTACGTCTCCCCTTCTTGTGTTTTGGCTTTTCCCTCCATCTCCGCCCTTGGGGTGTCTCTTCTTTTCATCAGATACAATGAAGAGCCCAAGTATGGACTGAGGATAAAGCTGAGGCTCCTCCCTCCGAGAGGGGCAGTGGTGGTTTCTTTCGGGTCCTCGTCTTCCTTCACTGGGCCTTGTTTCTGGCACCTGCATTCTGGCTCATTGCTCTTCTCTGGGCAGGGAGCCCTTCTAATGGCTGCAGTAGAATCACTGTAGTCACTGAAAAGTGACCTGTGGAGACCCTGAGGTCCTGGGGTCCCCCTGGAGCTGTCATCCACGGGCTGATGTCTGAAGGGTGCGAGTCACTACTCTTGGTGGGTCCTTAGGCAAGGGGTCCAATCTTAGCACAATTCCTGGCATTTTGCAGGCTCTCAGCAAATAGCAGTGGACACAATGCAGCACATTCAGTGAGCCCAAGGTCACACAGAGCTGTAAGACTCTGTTCTTAGGGGCAGAGAGAGAGGAAAGGAAGAGGACCACTGTAACGTCGATGTCAGGAGTCGGACCCAGCACCTCCCCTTTATCCGCAGAAGGGGTGACAGCAGGCCTTGTGCTTCGGAACAGCATCTGAATATCCTGTTCTTGACCATGCACTCCTGTCTGGTGTCTGCTTGGGGCTGGGTGTATAGCCATGCCTGACATGTGTTACCCACTCTGGAGAAGTGGGTTTGGGTCCAATCTGAGACGTGTAAATCTTGCCCAGTTCTGAATGGTGCTGAAAGTGGGGATTAACGTATCTATATTAAATGACATCAATGTTGGACACAGAAACTCTGGGACTTGGTGAAGGGCAGGGAGGCCTGGTGGGCTGTAGTTCATGTGGTTGCAGAGAGTCGGACATGAATTAGTGCCTCTTCCCTGGTGGCTCAGATGGTAAAGAGTGCCTGCAACGTGGGAGACCTGGGTTCCATCCCTGGGCCGGGAAGAGCCCCTGGAGGAGGAAATGGCAAGCCACTCCAGTATTCTTGCCTGGGAAATCCCATGGATGGAGGAGCCTGGTGGGCTACAGTCCATGGGCACACAAAGAGTCTGACACGACTGCCTTTGTTTTTCTTTCTTAGCGAGTGAACAACAGCAGCACTCTATAGCTGATCTCTCGTCTTTAACACAGAGCCTGGGAACGTAACATGTGGACACCATGGTAATTTGGGCGGTGGGGGCCCAGGTGCACAGAATTGCATAGGCCCTCTCTGCAAGGACTCTTGTCTTAAATTACCCACCCCCATCTTCCACCCAGATGCCCCTGCTCTTGACCACATTGGCACGCATCCTAGTTTCCATGTCCCCCAGCCCACAGTCCGGCCATTCATACGTATTTGTGTCTTTGGAAAATGTATGGTGTGTGTAATTTTGTAAATGGCAGAATTGATTGGGTTCTTTTTCTGGATTTTATTCTTTCTCAGCATCATTTAAATTTTTATTTATTTATTTATGGCTGTGCTGGGTCTTTGCTGCTGCACGCAGGCTTTCTCTAGTTGCGGAGACTGGGGGCCACTCTCTGTCGTGGTGCCAGGCTGCTCATAGTGGTGAGTTCCTCTTGTTAGGGAGCATGGGCTCTAGGGTGCACGGGCTCAGTAGTTGTGGCATGTGGGCTTCGTTGCTCTGTGACATGTGAATCTTCCCAGACCAGGGGTCAAACCTGTGTCTCCTGCAAAGGCAGGCAGATTCTTAACCCCTGGACCACCAGGGAAGTCCTCAGCATCGTTTCTGAGCTCTGCTGATGCTGCCGCACTCAGGTCTGTCTTCTTTTTTCCCGACAGTTGCAGAGTGTTTCCCATTTCTCGGCTTGCCTCCCACCACGTGTTGACTCACCTGCTTCCCCAGGGAAGGAGTACGGCCACCTTGTGTCAGTATAAGGAGAATGCAATGAATACCCTTGTGCGTATCTTCCTGTGGCCCCAACTGAGAATGTCTTCCGGCTCTGTCACCAGTGATGGCTTTGCTGAGCTCAGGAGTGTCTGCACACTTAATTCCACCAAGTCTGGCCAGACTGTTCTCAGATGGCTGCGTCCTTCACACTCTCTCCAGCTGTGAGTGAGAATGGCTGTTTCACCACATTTTTGCCAAGACACAATACTATCTTTCCCTTTGACTTTTGCCACTCAAATGGGGATAATGCGGTACTTCATGGTTAATTTAATTTCCGTGTCAGTCGTCACTGGTAATCTTGAACATGTAATAAACTTATTAGAATTTTTTTCCCTTTCTGTGAGTTATTTATTAATGTATTTTGTCCATTTCACTATTGGATTTTTAAAGTTTTTTTTTTTTTCTTATTTATAGATCTCGGTTTCCTAGAGAGTTATCCTTTGCAAATATCTTGTTTCATTCCATTGGCCTTGTGCTAACTTAATCTATGGTGTTCTTGGGACAGATATCTTTAATTTTGATGTAGCAAATTCCATCCTTTACCTATGTTATCATCTCTAATGTTGAGATGTTTTCAAGAAATTCTACTCCCCTCCCGTTGAAGGTCATAAAATAATCTCCTATCATTTTCTTCTGTTTGCTTTCTGCTTTTTTGCTTTTCATGTCTAGGTATTTAATGTATTTAGATTTTATTTTTGTACATGGCGTGAGGTAGGAATCCACCTTGACTTTTCCCTCTTGAGTAGTTCAGTGATCTCAGCATCATACTCAATAATTCATTGTTCCCCACTGTCTGTGATTCCGCCTGTCTTCCTGTGATCTATCTGTCTGTGTGGCTTTGCTTTCCATTCTGCTCCATTTGTTTTTAAAAACACACTATTAATGTGGTTGTGTCTGTCTATCTGTTTTATCTCTGCTCTCTACCTGCCCCATTTCTCTTTTAAAAAAATATACTCTTAAAATGGTTGTAATCAACAGCAACAAAAGCTAAGCATCTCAGTAGGGTTATAGGAAGTTGAGTTGGCAAAAGGACTTTAGAAATTACTTTGTCTGATCACGTCGCATCACACACGGGGCAATTAGGCTCAGAGGATGGCAGCTCCACGTTCAAGGACACAGTCAGAAATGGAATTCTTGTCTCCTGACCCCCACCCTCATCAAGCATTCCTGAATATTTGTTCCCTTTCGTGACTCCTGAGGGTATTTGGATGCAAGTGCCTTTTAGGGGCAAACATATTCCAAGCCTTAATGTTAAATTAAATACCAAATACCTTAACATTTGAAAAAATGACATTTATTATACTGAGTTGTAAACAGAGGAAAAATTACAATAGAATCCAGTGTAGGTCTTACATAAACGGCACCCATTCGGTGTAATGACTCTGAGAATGTCAGTGCTAACAAGCACATAATTGGCACCGGGGAGATAATTTTTGCCACCTTATGCAAAGGGGAAACCGTTCTGCATAATGATTTTACCTAGGAATATTCTTTATTCAACAGGCCCATTTGCATAACCCTTCCAACTTCCTTGAGTTAACACAAAATGCTCTGGAGACATTGCCAAGTCTCTTCCAGAAGATGTCTGCTTTTTCTTCTTCTTCTTTTTTTTTTTTAACTTTCCTGCTCTTCCCCCCCCCCCCAGCTTTATTGAGATATAATTGACATATAACATTGTGTTAAGTTTAAGATCTCTGCTGCTTGAAATAAACTCCCCTCTCTCGAGCATGCGGGTGTTGTGTGCCAGGGCTGTGCTCCCTGCCCCAAGTGCGTGGTTCGTATTTGCACTCACAGCATCCTGAAGTTGGACAATTTTTTTTGAGACCTGGATTCTTTTCTATTCTGTTCTTCAGGAGATTCCCGACATCTAGCAAAGGGCTCCAGCTGCAGGAGATGCTGACTGTTGTCGAATGAATATGTGAGTGCCTGTCTTGACGATCCTAGGAGGTCAAGTTTTTGTCACTAGAAATTGAAATCACTGGGTAAGCTCAAAATACCAGTCAGTGGCCACCTGGGATTTGAACACAGATCAGCTGGACCCCAGATGTATTTATCTCACAAGCTTGTTCCGTCTTTCCCTCAGTGAGCGCAGTGTCTGGTCTCATGCTGTCCAGTATGCTAGCCACTCGCCACGTGTGGCTCTTTAACTTTAAATTAAACAAAATAAAAAAATCCCCAGTCTTAGGTGCCATGTGCAGGCTACTGTAGTGGGTAGGTCAGCACTAAAACATTTTCATCCTTGCAGGAAATTCTGTTGGACAATAGTGCGTTTGTGTCTACTCTTCTTGAGTGTCAACTCTGTGTTGGGCTGTGTCTTAGCTCTGTGGACAGCTCTGGTTTCAAGCAGATGTGGATTCAAATCCTAGTTCAGGACTTGACTTTATGTGTGAGCCTCAACCTCTCAGCAGCTGGGTCTTGTCTTCTGCGAAATGGAGATAATAATAGGGCCCTCCAAAGGGCATTGTGAAGGTAAAGGGTATACAGACAGCATTTCGTGTCGTCTCTTGTCTGTGAAGATTAGGTGAGGGTCCCCATTCCACGAGGAGGAAACTGGCCTTCAGAGGAGTGGTGGAACTTGTCAAGGTTCTCACGCCTTGAGCAGGTACCCTGGGATTTGAGCCAGTGTCTGCCTGGTGCCAAAGTTGTAGGAGCTTTTTATTACCACGGACGTCCACCTCCTGAAGCACTGCTTCTTACAGGATGGGGAGATTGCCGTGCCCAGTGGTTGGAGGTAGTCCAGAGACTACAGGGAGCAGCTTGTGGATGAAACGTGTTCACAGCAGTGTTGTCCTCCTACACCCAAAGACATCACCGTTCAGCACAAAAGTTTAAAGAACACACTCTGTTAAAAAAAGAGAAAAATTTAGCCAAACAAAAGACAGGTTTTCTTTCTCATGCGAAAGTATTAGTCCTGGTAAGGCGGGAAATGAGTGTCCTAGAATCACCTATCTGCTTAATCTAAGAACTAGAGTAAAATCTCAGATCTTTCAACCCCCAGCTTGAAGTCCCACATTTCTGTATTTCAGAGATGATCCACAAAGAACTAGATTTGGGAAGCTTCCCTTACTGATCAGGGCTCTTTCGGTAACAAATGCCAGGAATCCAAGTGAAATTGTCCTCATCTGGAAAAGGAATGGGTTGGTTTATATGAAAAGAAAAAAAAGGGGGGGGGGCACCAGATTCAGGTATGGCTGGTTCCAGCTGCTCAAGTGATATCAAGAATATTGTGTTTTCCTCTCTTGGACTTGGCTTTTCTCTGAGTTGGCTCTATTCTTGGGGAAAGGATTTCTCTCTGGGCTAGTAAGATGACCAGCAGTGCCTGCAACTCCAGCTATATTTTTTGCCCCAACCCATTCCCAGGAAGTCTTCCCTTTGAGTTACAGTGAAAGTCAAAGGACTGGCTTTCATTGAATGGCTTGAGTCATGTGCCCATTCCTAAGCCAATCAGGGAGAGGGATCTGTGCAACTAGAGCCCCAAGTGCTGAGAACGGAGGAAGGGTGGGTCCCTAAAGGAGTGTAAGCATCCTGTTCCCAGAAGACAGGGGAGTGGATGTTAGAGAGTCAAAAATAGCAGATGTTCACTGTGCATTGTCCAGGTCAGTGTTTACAATTGCCCTGTCCACTTGTCTGGTATCTGAGTTGTCACCATGTCGTCTTCATTAAAAACAAGAATATAAAGAATAATAAAAGGAGAACATCTAATTCCTTGCACCCAAAACTAGGGTAGTTGAACAGTCCTGAGCTCAGGGAGCTCTGGATAGGGAGAGAGGTGCCATCAAAAGGACCACTGACACCAATAGTGATGAAGGCACTTCAGCCATGCTCAAGGTTGACTCAGCTTATAGATGAAATTTCAGTTTGCTCAGCAGGAATCAGGAGCTGCCTTTGGAAGATGTGAACAACTGGGAAGGCTCCTGGGAGTTGGCGATGACTGAGCTGGGCTTTGATTTATCAGTGGGATTAGCATGGACCAGGGAGAATGCAGCTGAAAAGAAGAATATTCATCTTGAAACTACATGGGTCATCTTAGAAAGATGCAGAGTGAAAAGATCCCTCCTCTCTCTTACCTTCCTCTCATCCTTCCATCTAGGACTGTGGTTCACTCACTTGGCACCTCTGTGCAAATGAGTGAAGGGCTCCTCCTCCCGATAGAGTCTACTCCTGCCCAAGATAAACAGCTTCAAGCTACACTGTAAATTGGATTTCAGCCCCTACCTGTCCCATTGGCTGAGCATCCTTGAACAAGCAGTGACTCAGACAATTGTCCCCAAGGGTCTTCTTCCTTCTGCCGCCCTTTACATTCTTCCTTCTGTCTCTCCACCCCCCAGCCCTGGTTCTTATTATGCATGTCATGCAGACCTGGCCAGTCTCACTTTTGGCCTTCACGCCGCCTCTCCCCTCTGTTATCCTGGACCATCTCACCAGTCACTGTCATTGCAGGGAACCCTTGACCCCTTCACCTTCCTCTAGGAGCCCCCACCCCCGAGGCCGCCGGAGGACCCCTCCGTTGACCGAATCCACCTCCAATTCCTCCCTAGCTGAAGGGCTTTAACTCACAAGCCAAGGCTCCCCTTTTGACAGGCTTGATTTGGCGCCCTGCACATCTGGGCCTCCCATCTGGCCCCCGCACATCGGCTGTGCGGGTTGCTTTATGGATATAATAAATATTACTTCCTTAATATGATTTTGCTTAGGTTCCCAGTGACTCACTCAAGCAAATCTTCCATTTAACACATGACTTTCTCTTCAGAGGGAGCAGAGAAAATATTGTTATTGGAAGAAGCACAGCCGTGAGGGGTTTGGCGGGGGAGCGTGTCCACATAAGCTCAAAGTTTGCCGCTGCCTACAGGTCTGGCGAGACCTCAGCATTCCAAGGAGCTGGATTCAATTGTGGGCTGGAAGATTTCAAAGAAATATCAATCCAAGCTCAGTGGGGGTAGCCAGAAAAGGACTTCAAATGTCATCCTGCCCAGTGCTGTCTTGGGTCTCACCGCCCCTGCTTGGGGCATGGAATGGGACCAATTCTATTACATCATTCATCTGGATGGGGGAGAGGACCAAACTTACCATCTACAGGCAGTTTATCAGAGGCATGCAGACAGCCTTTACTTGCAACACAAATTGTTCACATTGCAATTTGAAGGTAGTTTTATCTTATTTGGGGCTGAAAGTGTGAGTGAACGGGGCTGTCAAACTGCAAAACAGCATACTGTGTTAGCGACACCTACTGGTGGAGTGGGATATAGCAACCTAGCTCTACCTGTTTTCCTACCTCCGTAGGGCAAAAGAAATCGACACTTAA